TGTATTTGATGATTATATATCATGATATCGTCGTTATTCATTTGTTTTAAAGCTCAATAAATAACAATGAAGACCTTTGACCGGCACTTTTATAATTTTGTCCGGAAGATTTAAACTTTAACACACGCTGACCGGCGAAAAACTCTGCCCGGTTCTGTCGGCCCCCACCGCGGAGAATACACAGAAGTGCAGCCATGACAACCATTCTTCTTCGCTGCTTTTGTGGAGGAAGTTGCTGCTTTTGTGGAGGAAGTTACAGCGCCACGTACAGGTTCGGCATATGTACTGCAGCTTTTCCAGCGGTTGGATGTAAACGGAGCTGTCTCGTGGAGCTTGACACAATCCGGTGTATATTGCGTGGGGACGGAAGGTTTTTTGCGGTTGCATTTGCGTTACTCCGATGCGTTTTGCCGTATTTGTCCTCGTGGAGCCGGGGCCTAAAACTACATCTGTGTGTTTGACAGAAGTTTGCTGAACAAACACAGCAGAGGCTTTCAGTTTGCAATGCTGCTGTCCTATGAACATCCCTCAAAACAATTCTAACCTTAAATAGGTGACACATTATGGGCCACTTCAGACAAAATGCCTCATTCAGTATCCAAAATAGGACTTAAATCACCATCATGCCATTGAGTTCATTATTATAACAGATCTCAGCAATAACTACAGGAAATCTCAGAAAGTGTGTACAGTATGATCAGTACTAGCTGATCTACACATACAAGACACAAACTCAGTATTTTTCCTTAGGAATTCGGTTTGCATAATTTTCTGTTTCCAGCTTCTTAAATCTGAAGGTCGCTGCCTTTTCTCGTTTTGTTTTGTGTCATTGTGAATTGAATACGTTATATAATGGTCTGTTAAATGGATGAAAACATGCAAATTGATGTTGTGTTCTAGGAACTTGAGATAAGCAAATATGACTGGCCACAAAAAGACAATATTCCGGTAAATGTGGGGGATGTATTCAAAATGTCTGTCTAGCTTGGCATGTTTAAGTTAGCATGTTATTGACACATTATTTTTGAACTGAAAAGTGTGTTGCGTGTGCCTTTTCTTCCTACTTTGCTTGCTTGCATGATTCGTTCAGGGATCACCAGAGTCTCAGTCACACAGACGTGTCTGCAAGTATCAAGCTTATCATATGATAAACATTCTCAACCCTCCAGAGTCGCATTCACATGCATAGCTGAGCTTTCAGATTGGTCTTTAAATAGAGCTTTCATTTTTCACCCTAACTTTGTACAGCATACAAAGCCCAGGCCAATAACCAGCTGACGAAAGATCACAGATAACCACTGTATGACACAACTGAGAAGCCATGGACGATATGTGGAAGAATTTGGATGAGCAAGCTTATCTGTCGTCTTTCACACATATAGATTTTACTCTCCTTTGTTCCTCAAGGCATCATCTCTCACCTGCATTTCTTGTTTTGAAATATTGCATGTTGTGGAGGTGTTTTCTTTGTCTTCCCTTCTACTGTATGTGTGTGTTTTTCCTTTGTGAATAATACAAGAAGGTGAGATGTCAATGTGAGGCCAATGTTTCAACTCAGTAGCTGTTCACTTCAGATCATGTGTGGACATTTTGAGCTGTCAGACGTGTGTGTGAAGGATCTGTGCCAGATTTGGAAGTCAAGAGCAAATATGAAAATAATTACCAAAATCTTAGCTGCCTTAAGCCTTCACTAGGGCTAATCCTCCCAGCCATTTCTATCCCTGACTTAGGCTTACTTATAAAGGGTTTTGAAGGCCTCATGCTATGTAAACTAACAATGCCTAAATCTTCTTATGCATTTACCTAGTGGTGATTTCCTAAATGCTGAAAACATGAGAGAAAAAGTGTTTTTGTTAATGGTAATGGTGCAGGGCCGCAATCCAGTGACTTAAGGAGGAAGGAGCAAAGAGTCAAATTCCTTCATTAATTGTTTACTGGTTGGAGAACTTGGACAACTGTCTATCTCCTTGTTTTGTCTGTACTTATATTTCAACAGAAACCAACACTATTGTTATTTGGATTTATGCAAAACGTCACAGCTGCAGATGAATGTGTTGAAACAGCAGCTTCAATAACAGCATAACATCAACGCTTGTCTATTCCAGCAGAGGTGTCAAATTAGGGACACAATGATATTAAAAATCATGTTTCTTACATCACTAGATGCATCAGTATAATGACAATAAAAACCCTATTTTCAACTGTTTTTTACTCATACTTTTATATAAAAACTCATTAATTTTACTCTATAGGAAGTGGTTGTCTGATAGTAGACATTAAAGCTGTCAGTAAAGGAAAGCCCTGTGTTGTTGGTTCCAATTCTTCCACTGAAAGTTTGCAACATGTAGGGTCTCAACATGTAGGGTCTCAACATGTAGAGTCTCAAATATAGAGATTTTTAACAGTAAACAACAGATCTGTAATAGTTTTTCCAGACAGAATCATGCAAAATAACCTCTTTAAATCTAATAATAACGTGTTATTAGGTTTCTTGGAAATATGGATACAATACTAAAACAATTACTAATCGACAACAGAAATATTGGTCAACTAAGACAGAAATTACCACAACCTGACTTATCGAAGAGGTTATTTAGGCAGCACATTTGAGGTCTTAAATGCGGATAAGGCAGACATAGAAAGTGATTTTGTTATTTAAATCAGCCATATAATACCAATTAGTCAAAGATTCTGCTTCTAGCAAACAGGTGAAGTATTTAACCTATTGTTCAACCCTAGTAGGTGTATGTAACTTCCCCCCATCCTACATTATGTCAGTGGCATATTGTGGCGTATGTGTTGCATGTGTGTACTTCAATTTTTTTGTTTAACCTATGAGCACATCCAAACAGTCTCTAATGCCTTATTTCCCCCAATTACCTTGTTATAACGTGTCATTTTAACATTAAAAAATGAATGTTTTAACTTGTCAAAGATGCTAAAAACACCAGAAAAATAGATTTCAAATGACAATCCTGTGTCCTGTGCTGGTGACTGCTGGACACAGTGCAAGCGTAGCACTGCAGCAATGCCATAACAAATGAGGAGAATAAATCCAGATTGAGTGGGCTGCTGGGGAGTGCACTGTGGATCACGTCGTGTTGATCATCACTTGTGCTGGTGGTTCGCTGTGGCTTTTATCTCTTTTACATTAGCTCCGGCTCGATCCTTATGTGGGTGGCGCGTGATTGCTAGGCAGCATATGGTCTCCTTAGCATCAGATCATTCCACTACATGCTTAAGAGACTGAGAGTCCCTGCCCCCAACCCCCCCCTTTCAGCAGAGAAGAATACACTTCAACTGGACGTAAGTTACTATCTGTACAACATGCCTGCCCTGAGTCTCTACCCTCTGGCACAGAGTTAAGAGTGCTGCAGGGTAAATATAACAAGGTGTCCTGATCATTTTAAGCTCACCTATCTCTGGTTAATTCATTTAGTATAGGACAGAAAAGAAGCCACTGGTACTGTTCGTTCATTTGAATGCTGTCAAGAACAGAACATGCTGCTCTTTGGCCTTCACGTGTTAAAATAACCCTAATATTTGTATATTTTGTACTTACACTGTTCCTCATTGCATTTTTACCGGCAGTCTTGTATAATGAACATAATTTCCTTTGTTTATATTTTGCAAGTAGTAGGTTGGTCTAATATACATCTTACATTTTGATTTATTCGCCCAGCTCAAGTTTTTAAACTTAATGACAGCTTATTTGCTCAAGTCAATATTTACAGACATCTAAATCTAACAGTCACCAAAAGGTCAGAGCGACCCAGATCCAGAAAACCCCAAACAAATAAAGGCTTCTTAATATATAATAAAGCAAATACAGTGGAATAAGAAATACAATGAGGCTTTTTTTCCTGTCCACCCAGGACAATTTGTATCAGTGAACAACAGCCTGCTGCTGCCAATGTTGTGCTATAAGAACATCAATAACTGATCAGAAAATGGATGGATGGATCCATGTGTGTGATCATGTTTGGAAGGAGGAATTGGAGGGAAAGTGACAGCAGGTACAAAGGTGGTTTAAATCGTGTACAAATAACCCACAATTCCTGGACACCTCCTTGTCAAATGTAATCCTCTGCTAAGTTAAATATGGATCCAGCCCTGGTCAAACTCCTATTGGTCACGACATGGATGCCTTACGGTTACTAGGCAACTCAACATCATATCATGTAGATTATACATTGTATAGGCCCCTGACCAATTAAAAAAGGAACATAACACAGCTCTCCACTTTGAATATAGTATTTGTCATAGTTTCTATCATATTTATATTTGTGTAAATATCGTCTTTATTTTGTATTTGTTGTCTTTAAAATAGACTATAAAACGTATTCTTATTTCTGTGTCTTTGTATGCACCATTTACACTAAAGTAAATTCCTCGTTTGTGTAAAGCTACTACAGATTCTGATTCTGAAAGCACTGTGGCCTGCTATGCCAGTAGAACCGCTGTAAATACATACAAAGTGTAACCTCAGTCTATGTATTAAAGCTCACATGTAACACTGTTGCAACTATCAACACAGCGCCATGCTTCCCCGAAAACTCATTGAGATAAAAAACAGACATGCATTCACTTTTCATGCAGGCAGGGTGAGTGCGAAAGCAAAGCAAAACTTAGGTGACATTTTCCTGGCTGCGGTGCACACAACTGTGCCACAATTAGTCGCCAAGCAAAGGCCATTTACGAGTGTATTTTTTGCCACGAAAACTAATTTGCACGGGCCCTTGTTGCTAATAAGAGTGAAGGCTATACTGAGAGGAGATAAGACATACTGTATATGGGCCACAAGCTTTAGGCTACTGTCAGCCCCGGGGTGTTGCACAAAGTGGGCGAGGAAAGCGTTTCCTTCTCAACAGAGCTCTACGTTTTTTAACTTTACGCACAAAAACAACAACAACAACCTGTCAAAAAGCCACATTTATCGACACAGGCCTGCAAACTGGTGTGTTTACAAGTCGTCGGAGGGGTGGAAATTAAGTGCTTACCATCTTGCAGGTCGGATGATGAAATCCAGGCGGAAAAGAGGTCCAACAGGGGAGAGAGAGAGGGAGGGGGAGTTGGTAGGTCGCCGAGATGTGGCGAGAAGTACTACAAAATATTTATGGTTGTGGTACTATCTGAGGTCTCTCGTCCTGGCTTTAAAACCCAGCTTCAGGCTCCTTCACCAAGGCTTTCTGTGCTGTAGCAAAGGGAGGCAGACCCGCTGGGAGGGGACGGAGGAGGAGGCTCGGCTTGACAAGCAGGCGGTGGCGGAGGGGAGGAGAGAGGAGGGGGAGGTGCTGCTGGAGGCACCTCATAACTGTACATCCGGGAACTACAGGTTCACTACAGGCTGCTTGTGCTCGGGCTCTCTCCACTGGAGCTATGGCTGTACTGCAGGAATACCCGACACCTTAGGCCAGGGGTGTCAAACTAAATTTCATCCCGGGCCACATCAGCATTATGGTTGCACTCAAAGGGCCGGTTGTAATTTATATAAATATACATATGTAAATATATAATATATAGTAAATAATGTATTATATTACATTGTTGGCCCTGCATTGGATTATTATCAGATCTGGTAATATCTTCCTAAATAACTACGTCTGAAAGCAGAAGTCTAGGGCAAATAATTGAAAGTAAATATTCAACAATTACACCAATTGTATTGTATATTATATTCTTTGCAAGCTCTTGCGGGCCACATAAAATTAGGTCGCGGGCCGGATTTGGCCCCCGGGCCTTGAGTTTGACACCCCTGCCTTAGGCCATTATGCACTGTGTACAGTGGTGGAGAGTTACTAAGTACATTTAGTATAGTGCTGTACTAATGTACAATTTTGAGGTACTTATTTTGAGTATTTCTTTCAATTATGTTTTATAGCCAGACAGATTTTTTTTTAATATACAGCCCAAAATGTCCTACCAAAATGGGGATTTGAACCCATGTATCACAGAGATCAGAATATGGTGTGCCTGTATGAACCTCTGAGCTAGATAGCAGTTTGAACAGGCATGATTTATTTGAAATCACATGACCTTTTTTTTCGTCACTTGGAGTTGGGGGGTGTCCCCTTTAGGCTGGCAAGAACAAAAAGATCTCTCAAAACATGAAAACTCACAAAGATAATGATGGAAAGGAAAACATAAAAAGTCCTGCACCTTTGTGTGTGTTTCTTTCTTAAAGCAGGGAGGGGGGAGGCAGGAGCTCCAACAAGGCGTGTAGGACAGAGAGTGCATATACATATTATACAGAGATGCTGTATGAGAAACCAATGTGATTTTGAAACATTGAACAATGTAAATCTATTCTAGTAGACCTCAACAATGGAATTATGATCAGTAGAAATGGCCATGACATGGGACCTTTAAAACGATTTTGGTCGTTTTTGTGATATCTTACAGATTTGACTCGAGCATCGGCTACCCAAGTATACCTCTTTAATGTAGTCTAAACCGTATTCCTACTTTATCATGCTTTCAAGCTGAACCTTTTTATAAACAGTCTATGAGCTGAACAGTCAATACCATAGCACCAAACAATCATAATGTTCAATTTATGGTTTAGGTGTTTTTGCCTTCTCCTCCTCTCTCTCTCTCTCTCTCTCTCTCTCTCTCTCTCTCTCTCTCTCTCTCTCTCTCTCTCTCTCTCTCTCTCTCTCTCTCTCTCTCCTGTGCAGTGTGGTGATCGTTAGAAGGCGCAGCTGGTTCACACTGAGGAGCACCTGTTCTCATCTAATCAACTCCTCCATAAAACCCTGGTCATGTTCACACTCCAGTGCCAGATATTTCCGTCTCACTCGGTAGAGCTGAACGTTGTAGTATCCTAGCTTAGTGTGATTTTCTTTTGCTGTTTTTGTTGAAGAGTAACCTTTTCCTCTGTTCTTCCCAGTGTCTGCTCGAGCCAGCCTGAGTCCTGCCGCCGCCACCAGCGTGAACTGTCCACCTTCATTTTGTGGATTGTTTTTTAGTTGCTCCTTTTTTCCTTTATTAAACTTTGTTAAAAGACTGCATCCATCTGGTCTCTGCCATTGTAGGTCCTGAACTTTTGACCCAGCCCTAACAGTTCAGCTTCTGTTAGCTAAACTGCTCATTTAGTTGTTTTGAGTTTTCAGAACATGTCATGATAATAGTTTTGTCAGTGCGATTAACGTCTAATTGCTAACTATAACTGCTGTGATTGACCTTTATCAACATGCTTTATGGGACTTTTCCCCTCCTGTCAAGTTGCATTAACTAAGCCATTTACATAGTTTTCATTTGTTGTAGTGGTTTACAATACTTGTTTCTTGAGTTGTAAGTACCTGTGTTCCTGATCTAAATCTGATTTACAGTAGGTTTATGATGAATCAGTCCAAATAAATACATTTTCCACACAAAAGATTTTCAATTTTACTGATAACATTATAAACAACAATTTCACAAAAAGGTCAGAGTAACATTTAATTTTCACCACTATTGGACCATTTCATCATGTCTGTTGCTCTGGTTTCTTGCATAGGTCATTTCAATATTTTAAAGAAAATAATTTTGTTATTTTTTTACCAACTAGAAACAATAATATGAAAACACTTTTAAATATTTCACTGTACAAAATACTTTTTTCCAAAATATAAGTAACGACTAAAAATATATATTCTGAAATGTCATGTTACGTTTTGAGTATTCCAAATAAATTATTTAGCTTGAATAAACAATTCATTATTATGGCTAGGTCCTTCAGAAGAGGTAGAGAAAACAACACACTGTAAATAGGAGCACGACTTCACCCAAATACAACATTCCTACATCCGACACTGCATCATACAGTACACAAAATAGTACCACAAGAGAATACTCATACACACAGCTGCAGAGGGTTTCATTCCAAAACACTATGGTCCCTTTTTTGATTAATCCATGTGCAGTCAGTGGCAAAGGTGAACACTTCTGGATCTCTTTGGAAAGTGATTTTGGAATGAATCTCTTACACGTAAAAGTACATTAACCTGTACAAGCACCGTCTTGTTACACACACGTATTGTAGCTAAACACACAGGCACACGTGCACTGACCCACATACAGTTCTGCACATTTGAACACACCTCAGGATAACCACATGCCATAACTGGAACGGCATATACAAATATTTTTCTTAAAATATAATTTAGTCTTCCAAAACGGAATTAAAAGTGTAGGTAGTTGAGAATTGCTACATGTTTCATTTTTAATAAGAGACTTAATGTGCCAAATTTGATTAACCAGCATAAACATACAAAAACACCTGTGGAAAGACTGCATTTGATATTTACGGCACAAAGGGAGAGTGGTTGCATTTATTTTTAAGGTAAGACAATACCTCATCATGACATTAAGGATAATAACGTTTTTGTTTTTGCAGAGTAACATTAAACATTTGAAGCTCTTCCTCCGTCAGACAAACATCTCCTTGTTGATCCACATGAGCGTGCGCGTGTCGTTGGGTTTGCATTCGTACTCGATGCTGTTGAAGCTGTTTCCCCACTGGCAGTGGTCCCTCTTGTTGTAGTTATAGTACTTCACCTGCCACACCGTCTCAAACAGACCCGCCTCTGTGAACTGGAGGAGAAACACATGCACAGATGAGTAAAGACACACACACACATATGCATATTTTCAGCATCTTAGTGGCCTCATTTGATGCTCTAATGACAAGACATACTGTACAGAGTGGACAGATGGGAACACACACACACATAAACAAACACACAGACTTGCAGTATATCATCATGTGAAGGGGAAATGAAGAGGAGACACACACACACACACACACACACACACACACACACACACACACACACACACACACACACACACACACACACACACACACACACACACACACACACACACACACACACACACACACACACACACACACACACACACACACACACACACACACACACACACACACACACAGTATTATCTCAGAGGCCCTAGGGTGTAAACTGGACATATGGAGTATACAGAAAGTCATGTAACTTTAAACAAGGTCAAGCAATAATTTGTTGTAACTAAGAATGATCCTGTCGTTATGCTACTAAGAAACATTACTGAAGCTTAAAGCATCTGTTAATTGCTGCATGCTAGCTGAGGAGACTTGAACACTAAAAACAAGAATATATTTGTTTTCTTTTTAGTGTGTACATCTCTAAAAGACGAGCGGATCTCAGGTTGAAATGTCCCCATACAGCATTGGTTTGTACTGAGTACTGATCCAACACCAGTGTTTCATTCCAGTAAATCTATCCGTATTTTTATTGTTAATTATTAGACTATTGAATTGTACACCAACAACTTGGTAAAAAAATTACTTCTATATATTTGTACTACTACTAGTGTTATCCTTTTCAATGCAGGAACACATTGGTTAAGCCTTTAACAGGAAGTACATTTCAGTGTACTGTATATTATATGCAATATACAAACATGAGTTTGAAATGAATAGGTAGGTCTCATTGTCGCCATAACCAATCCAGCTATTTGAGTGAGTATCGACCCGAATAAAGGTGCATCCCTAGTAGTTTGGTGCACTGTGTACAGTATATCCATACCTGTATGTTTATCTGAACTGGTTGCCTCTCTCCACTCTTAGTATGTGTCACCCCTTCTGTTTCGTACTGGCCGCTATAGACGACGGACTGCGGGTCTTTAGACTGTTGCTCTAGAGGGAAGGTCACCGCACCGATACTCATCGAGCTGCAGGTACACAACACATCAGACTAATCTTTAAATTAAAGGTTCATGTGAGGCCGTGCACAGAAGATGGATCCTCAAAACAAGTGAGTCAATGTTAATACATTCAAAAATACTGCACATATTTATTCTCAGAGTAACTTGTTATGTTCTTTTTGTACTTTTTTATTTGTGTGTATTTATATTTCTTGTAAACATTAATTTTTTTGGTTTTCACCCAATCAAATGTCTTGTATGTGAAAACCTACTTGGTTATAAAACCGGATTCTAATTTTAATAAAACAAAGACAAGATGTATTCAAAAATAATTTCATTGATTGGATGTATTAAGAAATTACACATGCAATTTTAAAGCACTAACTGATAAATACTTCAAGCTTCATACTTACTGATGCAATTTTGTTCCAGATTTAATACTGATAAATCCTTTTAGTGAGCTATGTCTGCAGCTGTGTTTTATGAGCATGCTCCAAATATTCTTGCATCATTGCACGTGTGACCTATTTTTACACCGTAGTGTTCAAGCAGTTTCACAGCATGTTAACAATAATCCTGCTTTGGAGATGGAAATACAACAACCATTACATAATCATGAACTGTAGTCAAATCACAAGAGGACGTTTTACACAATCAAAACCCAAACCCCGGAATCCTAATCTGTGTGGATTTGACGTGCAGCCAATTGGTTTTATGTTGCCTTCATGTGCACCGTGTAAAATCCTACTTTCGATCGCTACACATGGAAAAAGGACTTGTTGAGCGTTCAAGTGCATGGCTTTTAGTCAGACAATATATCGCAAAGATATTTTACTGTTATACGTACAAAATGTACAAGTGGTGTTTTGAGGGGTTTTGTGTTTTTTTTATGTAGCTTAAAAATCACGAAAACCTCTTTCTTACACTTTATATGTGGTAGAGAGGTAAGGGCTATATATCCCAATGTCCATGGTGCCTTTAACTTTACACTTGCGTTCTGTTAAAGTCACCACTGAGATTCCATGGAAGGAAATCCTCATTTTAAGCTTTTCTCGAAATTACCATTAACTAGTAGAATGTAAAATAGACTCTGTGTTATTAAGCAGAATACTTTAAGTGTTAATTGTCAGGAAATGAAGCAGACATATGCTTTCCTTTGTAAAGGAAATTATATGACAAAAACAGATACATGGTAGGAAACTCAAACGTTTTTAAAATACCCCCTTAGGCTATAATACCGTCATTTAATTCCATTCCACGCTATAATATTAAGGGGACAATAGGTGGCTGCAACATGCAACAACATTCTCTATTTTCGGAAGGTTCATGGGAAAACTGCAATCTCCTAATTGACTGTAAACGTTTCTTTGGCACTCCTAGGTGCCTTGAATAATCACTGTGGCTTTTTCTCAGAAGAGATTTGTAAAGTAAAAATACCATGATGTTTGTTCCCTTAAATGAATAGATGTAACATGGCAGTTTGGTCCATGCCCATGTCATGATGATCCACGCCTGAAACAGACAGAATAGGAGCGCTACCTACGTGGCCTGGACCGCTCCTGGTTTAACGACCACCTCGATTTTGTATTTGGATCCGGTTAGCAGCTTGATGGTCCGGGTCTGTCCGAACCGGGCACCGTCGGATTTGAAGTGCACCGCCGTGTTGTTAGGGAGCATCTTCATATTAATCCCAATTTTGACGAGTTGAGGGATGTCGGCCATGTTTCCATACAGCTTGTTTATCCCCAGAATCAGAAAGGTGTTCAGGCAGAGAAATGCCGTGCAGAGATTTCCATAGCAGAGCGAGCAACTCAGGGAAATACTCAGCGAGCCGTAATCCCGTGTAACCTGCACGAGCCTAATCCCACCCCTCTCTCTCGCTCTTTCTCTCCCTCTTTCTCTATCTCTCTCTCCCCCCCTCTCTCTCTTGCCATTAACTCCCCTTTCTAATTCTTAATTAAAGTGTTAGTTCGGATCACTTGAATTTAAATCTATTTAGCAGTGCTGAAATTCTGACAATTAAGGTTGTGGATTAGGCCTAAATTAATTGACACTGGGGAGGGGATTATAGTAAAGCAGGTGGTAGTACTAATATAAATAATAATAGGCAATAACAATTACAAGTTATGGTAATCCAAAAGGATTTGTGATAAAGAACCTTTGTGACCCTATTGTTTATACTATTTTTAATTTTATAATATAATTATAATAATGAAATGAAACAAGAGAATTATGATACTGTAGTAAAGTAAGCAGTATCATCAGTTTAAATTCAAATTATATATAAACAAATTATCTACCTAATTGCATCCGAAAAGGCGTGGGAAGGAGTTTTCACGTATTTAATCCCACCCCTTCTCCCAAAAACTAAATTAACATTTTTGTTTTCTTTAACAAAATATACATAAATGTATGTCTACATATATATATCTGAATATTGGGGGACACACATCCCCCCCAATATTCAGATAAACTCAAAATGTCCCCCCCAATATATAGCCTAACTGATATAATTTTTTTTAAATAAGATTGCTATTCTATGACTTTTTTATTTTGACTATTTGTATACTTGAAAATCTTTATTTTCTGTTATTGTGAACTTCACCAAAATGATATATTCTTTTCATATGTAAATTGGTTCCGCCTTTGTTTGTTTATGCATACCTTTATTTTGTACCCGGGGGTGTATTTCGCTGTCGCACGTCGGTCCGAGCAGCTTCAGTTAGCGTTGATGCTCCAAGCAGGTCAGTCATGTTTTAATTTGCCCTCCATCAGTTCTGGTATCTTCAAATTTTGATTTAATTTTTGGTCCCCCCCAATGTTGACTCCATGGTTACGGCCTTGCTTAATATACTGCTGGTAAATTATCACTTCAGATCGTTAGTGAATATTAAGTTTGTATTATTATTTTTGTTGTGCCATGTTTTAATTTATATTGCTGTTTTCTATGATCAAAGTTACAGTTTAGTTATCTACAAATTGAATCCAGATTGTTGTCCCATGGGCTCTTCGTGTAATGCCTATGTTTGCCCACTAGATGTCACGCTTTGATCACAGTTTTATTTACAGTCTTAAATTCCAACAGGGAGAAAAAAACATGTCTTGCTCATATTGGCCATGTGATGGGCTCATATTTACAAAAAGAAAACGGCATATGAGGGCTTCATATTGCTGACGCCATCTCGAGTGTTGGGTGGATAAAGTCGGAAAGTCCAAATAAAAAATGTAAAATTCTCTTCAACAAATTCTCTCAGTTGCACGACGCCAACACAATGGGAATATTTGCATAAAAACAAATCTGTTCTTAGGTATTTGATTGAAAAAGACTAAACTGAGCCTTAAGATCACAACTGTTTATATATATAACATATGTCTTAACTATTGTCAAAGAAATCAGTCATAGACATTGAAAAAAACAACTCATTAAAGCTTTAAGAATAGACATGCATCAAGCTGTACATTTTAGAGCAGGATATTTCGTGTGGTAGGCCTATTCAGTAACACCGTGAAAAGACATTGCCTCAGAAGACAAGTCAAAGTAGCCCGTGCTTTCCATGGGTCACATGATCGGTGGACAGTGACGCAGCAGTTAATATTTATAAAGCCGGTTCGGTTCCGTTTGATTCTCTGAATATATTCTCGAGTTGATGATGCATTTTCAACCGATTTAGAGATTAAGTTGAATTGACAGTTAAGTCTGACTTAATAAAATGCTAAAATAACACAGTTAGAAGTTTTTCAAAGTATGACAGATGAATGCGCCGTTGATGTTTTATAAAATAAATAAATCAATATCACGCTGGTTGTTTAGGACATAGGGAAATGTTGTCTGCGTAAAACCTGCGTCATCGGTGCACTTTTGTCTTTTGACGTTTTTTCAATTCATGTGTTATTCAAAAAGGACATTTATAGATAAAGCCGCAACTTTGGATGTGGAGATCACCTAACGTTGTGTTTCTGGTGGTGTTGTCTGAGCTGTGGCTTTCTCTGCCCGATGCGTAAAAGCGAGAATGGTCCGGGGCAGCACCGGCACCGGCAGCCTCAACACACTTTGACAGAAAGAAGCAAGACGGAGAGTGAGGGTAAGAAAGAGAGTGAGGGAGGGTGGGAGAGAGCCCTCCCCCAGCCAAGTGTTTCCAATGGATCCACTCCTTCATAACCCCACTCTTCTCCAGCTTTTCGCAGATGGCCAAAGTTCCCAAACAGCACGGTGGATCTGCTCACAGGATGACAGGATGAGAGCAGCTAGTTAACTCTTTAACCACTGCTTTGTTTTACTTGCTGTATAGTGAAAGTAGTCAAACACCCTCTGGCGCACGAGGCTACATGTGTTTGCGTGCGCTGGTGATGCCATGCCGCGCAGTCACACCGGAGACGAGAGCAGCGGCACTGGGCTCTGGCTGAAGACCTCGACTGGAAGCAGGGCGCAGGACAACGCACTGAAAGATGTGGAGTCTGGGCGCAGGGCAATGAATAACGCGGGGCGAGTAGGTGACGGTCTCCTGTCTCCCTCCACGGCAGGTGCGTTGGGGTCGGAGAGGAAGCAGGGAGCCCGGCTCAGCCTGCTCGGGAAGCCGCTGATCTACAGCGCGCAGAGCGGCCGCAGGAACGCGCGATACCGGCGGCTCCAGAATTACCTCTACAACGTGTTGGAGAGACCGAGGGAATGGGCGTTCGTCTACCATGCGTTTGTGTGAGTACTCGCACTTTAAATCCTTATATAGCAGTTTGCTTCAACACTTTATTCCCCCTGTTCATTCTTTCAAATTAATAGGTTTTTAGTTATTATTACCTGATTTTCCCTTGATGGTAATAACCAGCTTGGGCCACACACATGATGGTATACACTTTTTTGTGGACTCTCTTTTCACTCACACATGCATATCCATGTCTATCCACCCCAATACACAAACACATTCAGCATAAAACACATTTTCTGACTGGTTTACTTTTATCTTTCCTATACCATTATTTAGATGTTGCCGGTTAAGATGTCCTGGCTATGAGGATAATTGACCTTTCATATATATCTAATATCTGATATCTGATATCTGTGGATTGAAGTATTGGCTACACCTCTGCATGTCAGTGCGATTTATTTTGGATGTGATCATCTGTTGCTCCAGCTACAGTGCATAAAACACTGGAGACACAGACCTGAATTATTTAGAGTTGAATGACTATGAATGCACTACAGGTGTGTGTACTGGGCTCACATGTGAAGGTGTTCATTTGCAATGCACATACTGTATGTGTGTATTGCAGACTCAATTGCAACAATGGAGTCAGTAAATGAGACACTATATAATGGCCAATCTCTTCCAAATTGTTACGCAACACTAGAAGCTAAAACAGATTTGGGGTTCTTGGAGAAGGCCAACAAGCTGTCAACGAGGGTGAATGTACAGTAACATCCACTTCTGCATTATTTTGAGTCTTTCATCACTGGTTTAGACATTGGCTTTAAAAAGAGTGGCTCTGGGAAAAGCCCTGGAGGGACACTTTTAAAGCTATATTCAGTTTAAGTTACTGATTTAAAAACTGCCTTCAGTTTACCACAGCTAGGTTTCTCTGGTGTGAAATTGCCAACATTTGATTTTAATTCTCCTTTTTAGTTTCCTCTCTTTCATCCAGATTCATTAACTCATTTGCAGATTATTGCAAAAATGTGAGATGAGCTTTTCTGGTTCGTGTCCGTCTAAACAAACACCTTTTTGCTCTTCTGCCTGGTGCTGTTTTGGTCCCAAGGGGATTGTCAACATGACACACAAGCTTTCTGTAGACTATATTGATCCACAACTGTTTGTATCTTGGCTGTGCTCGAATCTTTAGAGATAGTGTCTTGTTCTTTGGAATACACTGGTCATCTGCAAGATCCTTTTCTGTTTTGCACTGTTTGCTGTGCTGTTTCTGCACTGCACATCCAAGAGATCACCTGTCAATCAAACGCAGTAGACAATGCTGAGATTTGATTGAGTCTGCTCAGTGTTGGAAGCAGTCGATGCTCATGTTAAGTTGTTTTTCAGTTTATTTGAAACACCTGGCAATATAAATCACATCATATCCTGTGTGACTTTGTTTTTATAATAACAATTATTTATATGAACATGTGGCAGATTGTTGGACAGGGAGTTGGTTCATGGGAAAGCAGGCTCTGTTCTTTTAACAGAATACACACTGTATGTCCTGTTTCTCGCTGTCTGCTTTTATATCACTGCATGTACAGTATATAGACAACAAATACATTATGCATGGGTCTATGTATCTGTTTCACACACTTGCTCCACAACGCCTACCCACCGCCACATGGTAAGGGTGGTGGAACCCCACATCCCTTCCCGTGAGAAGGAGGAAGTGGAACTGTCAGAGGAGGGGCTGCGAGGCCGGATGTTGACCTTTTATTTGCTCAGACGGGACAGCTGAGGTCGCAGGGGTTAAGTCGTTACATCTGCTCACAACCACGGCCTTAAATAAACCATTTAAGTGAGATAAAGAAACATCAGTGAGATTAGGAATATAATCCCAAATCGAGAGCACATTGGCAGGAGGCTTTGAGGAAAAGGCATTTAAGGATTCAGATGATAATCAAAGCTGTGTTTTGTTTTCAGTTTGATATGCAGACATATTCTTCTCTTTAGCTATTATGTATTGAATGATATTGACTTTATAATAGATGTTTTCTTGCATTAAATTAATCATTTGGATATGGTATACCAGCTCTAGTGTCGGTAGTGATAAATGCAACACCGTAATAAATTTGAACTCCCAAAAAATAATGTTTGCAAAGGGAGAGTTTTAATTGAGTTATTTTGGAGATGACTACAAATGACATCATTAGCCAAACATCGACTTCATGTAAGTAAAGCAGATGTAAAAGAAAGATTATTTTCAACAGTCACAGTGAATGTCTGGGATTTAGATTTGAAGAGCAGTTTGTGTTGTTGCAGTCATCTTCATGTACACTTACACTTTAGACCTGGTGATTCATAGATAAAGGAATTGTTTTTAAAGGAGTGCAGATTGTTTGCTAATCACAGAACATTTGTACTTGTTTTGCTGTGTTTGTTTTATGGGCATTGACATCTCAGATGTTACAATGCCAAAAATAATTTGCAAAAACAGTTTCAACAAGGGACAATTTTAGTGTCCAAGTGGACTGTTGTAATAGTATCTACTTACGTGAGTGAACATGTACGCTTTTAGTTTGTCGAAGGATAAATTACGTCCATTAAATGCAACAGGGGTTCTCTGCACTTCCTTTTGAGGGCAAATTCTATTGAGTGATGTCTGACCCGTGTGGTAGACGGACTCCAACATAAACTCACTGCAACAGAGCAATGATCGCTATGCATTCAACTAATTGTGTTTTAATAGTTTATGTCCAAGCAAACAATTTCTTTGTACACATTCAAAACAAGCAGAGAAATGTAAGCATCTCAATCAAATCTGCTAACTCGAAAAACATGGAGGTCTAAATGCGTTTTGGTGCCATTTCACACTGGACTCAATGTGTTGGGGGGAACAGTTTATATTCCTCTTGATTCAGTCAAATGAAATTCAGTCTCTTTTGTTGCGTGAAAAATGTATTTAGCAATCATTTCACCATCTGTTAAATCTTTAATTGATTTCTGGTGTGGGATTTATAGAGAAACTTTTCCTCATTTGTGGAGTTTCTTTGAAGTCGTCATTTCTGTTTGCTTGAAGTCAACTTTAAGACCTACGGGCAACTGGTATCTAAAGTCACTGATCCTAATACATTCTGCTGAACTCATTAAATACATTTAATGTGCTGCTTTAATGAAACTTTGAAGTTTGAATTTAATTGGTATAAATAACAAGTCACATCTCGTATGCAATCACTTTTAATGTGGATAGTTGTGGATATATCAGGTGAAAGCTAGTCAGTGAATGCAGCATTGCATTGCAATGTCTTCACAGTGAAAACACACTCGTTATGGCTGTTTTGTCCTGCATTGATTTACAGTCATTTCAGTCTGTCACATGTCATTTAACTGAATTGATGTCATAGTGGTCCCTCTCCTTCAGTCACTGCAGTGTGTGTTGTTGCTAGGTAGCAGCAGGGAGTAGTATGTAACCACACATATACACACATACTTGTACTGTTGCTTACACACAAGCACATGTAAGCCTGTGTATACAAAAGTCAAAGTCGATACAGAAACATGCAAAAAACAAAGATGTATGGGCAATAAATACAATCACTAATAGACATTTTAAAATGATTAGGGTTGTCCTTCAATAAAATATATTATTGTGATTAATATTATGATTCATAGGTAATGATGAATCTGTTTGAAATGTATCATAGAATAGACCCTCCAGAAAAACGCGGGCTAAAATCCTTGATTATGCGGGCTAAAATCCTTGATTATGCGGGCTAAAATCCTTGATTATGCGGGCTAAAATCCTTGATTATGCGATTAAACATGCGGGGTTTTTATGTGAAATATGCGGAGAAGTTGCGAAATATGCGGAAATATGCGAAAAGTTGCGAAATATGCGGGAGGCGGAAAAAAGGTGATTCTTTTCCCACACCCTGTTACTAGGCTACTACTGAATGAAAGGAAGCCCTTTTAAAGAGTTCCTATGATACACACACACACACACACACACACCTCCGCCTCATTCTGTTTTCATTTACCCGTTCGTTATCTGACCAGCTTCAATCTTGTATGTTCCAACACACAGTTGCACGGGGTGCAGAATAGTTTCCCCCCACTTTCGTGCAAGACATCTGCGTACTGCTTTGCCCGGTCTTTAGCAGAAATGTTCGTAGGCAAATGGGATGGATTCGATTTGTTCATCTTGGTCAGAGCCGTATAATAGTATAATTATAATAGTATATAATAATAATAGTATAATAGTAGGCTATATAATAATCTATGTGGCGCTGATCTTGTTGCTTTTCTCTCTCGTGTGAGTTCCACACATTCACTCTACGGTGTTGTTTACCTGCGCGAGCTGATGACATCACTACTTCACGTTAACTTTTTTTTCCCTCAATTTTGTGTGGAAAAATGCGGGGATTATGCGACCTTTTAAGAAATATGCGGCCTTTTAAAAATATGCGCTATTTTGTTGATTATGCGGTAGATTATGCGATCGCATAATCGCGTTTTTCTGGAGGGTCTAATAGAAGACGTTTATTTAAGTATTTAAAGGGGCCCCTTTATTATTTTTGGGGTTTTCCCTTATCTGTAGTCTGTGAGGTTTGTGTGCATATAAATGGTCTGCAGAGGCTAAAATCCCAAAGTTCCCTCTAACACTCTGTTGGCTCTGTGGAGGACTTTTCTGCAATGCTCCAGCTCCGTTTATGAGAGTTAAGTTGTTAAATCTATCCTTCCATGAGAAGATACATTAACAACAGCTAACAATACATATCTTCACTTCTGCGATTTGTGTCCACAATGTGCAATCTTTGCTTCCGGAGAAGAAATGGTGGTGTTAAATAGAATTTGGATAAGATGTTATTATCGTGTTAACCTTAATAGCCATAAAATAATACACACAAACTCACTTATATCAACAAATATACTGAGCATGTAAAAACACAATGCACATACAGTCACATTTATAAACCGAAACACTTCCACACGTGGTAGGAGACGAACAAACAGGAAGAAAAGTTTCCTTTGATGGTTTCATTAGTAAGCAGTTGTGTAGGAACAGATG